ACCAAAATGGAAAAGGCCAGCGTATAGCACAATTCAATATGTGGCTAAAGGAGTGGAGTAAAGGGGAAGGCTTTGGATATATTAGTCACGATGTCAGCAGCTGGTCCAATGAAGAAATGTACAAAAGAGATGGTTTGCATCCATCAAAGAAAGGGACTGAGTTACTTGGCTATAAATTCACAGATTTTCTGGAGGAATACTTAAACTAAACAGCGGGGACAGTGAGCTAACTGATACAGAACATCCCTGTCCCCGGCAATCTAACAATTATAGGGCTATCAGTGTATGTAACATAGATGTGTGTGTGGACAAGAACATCAACCTTGCTGTCAAGCAAAATCAAGCTCTTAATAGTGAGTGCCACACAAAGTGCACTAACCAAATAAGTGGTAAGACATTAGGGGAACTCAGGCACCACACAGGTTATGTAGGAAGTAAACACAAGGTCGGTCATAAAGGACTCAAATGTCTATACACAAATGCACAGAGTATGAACAGCAAACAGGGTGAACTAGAAATCCAGGTTAATGAGGGCAGATTGTTGCCATAACGGAAACATGGTGGGACGAAACCCACAAATGGAACACACAGCTAGAGGGATTTAAATTATTTAAAAGAAACAGACCAAATAAAAGAGGAGGTGGAGTTGCTCTCTATATAAGAAATAACTACATCTCTACAGAAATAGAGCACAAAAATGATGAAAACTGTCCTGAATGCATATGGGTCAATATAAAAGGGGGGGGAAATGACATTGCCATAGGTGTATACTATAGGCCACCCAACCAAACACAGGAAATAGATGAACTTTTTGCTAGTCAGCTAACTGGGGCGGAACCAGAAGTGACAAAATGGTTCCACCCCAGGCGCCTGATGGACCCTGAGAGGTTCCAGACGGAGCTTGGGCCAATACCCGAGACCTTGACCCGCGGCTCGACTGAGGACCTGGTGGCCGCCTGGAATGGTGCGGCCGCGGGGGCCCTGGACCGGGTCGTGCCTTTGCGGCCCCTCACCCGATGCCGGTCTACTTTGGCTCCTTGGTTCTCCGAGGAGCTGAGGGTGATGAAGCGTCGTAAGAGATGCCTAGAGGGTAATTGGAGGGCCACCCGCTCCGAATCCGATCAGAAACTGGTAAAGTCCCATTTAAGGACTTACCTAGTGGCGATAAGAGCAGCGAAATGAAACTATTTCTCCGCTCTTATCGCGTCTTCAGGTAACCGATCTGCCGCCCTGTTTAGGGTGTCCCGCTCCCTCCTTCATCAGAGGGTCCGGGACGTCCCTTTGCAGGGTCGGGCAGAGGAATTTGGGTGTTACCTGCATGACAAAATCGATCGGATCCGGGCCGGGTTAGCCTCTGATTGGACTAGTTCAGACGGGCCAATGGAGGCAGGTCTTGAGTCCACTTTGTGGGAAGAGTTTGATCCTGTGACTCCCGAGGACATGGACAGGATGCTGGGACGGCTGAACACAACCACATGTCTACTGGACCCGTGTCCCTCCTGGCTGGTACTGGCCTCCCGGGAGGTTACACGAGGCTGGCTCCAGGGAATCGTCAACGCCTCTTTGAGTGAGAGGTTCTTGCCGGCCGCCTTGAAAGAGGCGGTGGTGAGGCCCCTCCTCAAGAAGCCCTCCCTGGACCCGGCTGTTTTGGCCAACTACCGTCCTGTCTCCAACCTTCACTTTCTTGCGAAGGTTGTTGAGAGTGTGGTGGCACGACAGCTCCCTCAGCACCTGGAAGAAACTGTCTATCTAGACTCGCGCCAGTCCGGCTT